TTGAATGATTGTATAACACTATATGCTTTTTACTTGTTAAAAACGAAGGCTAAAAAAGGAAAACTGCATTTCCCTGACAGCACGCGTCAATCGGAACGATTCGGCAGTCTTCGGTAATTTACGACGCGCGAGCCGGTTGCCGGTTGACACGTGATTAGAGTAAATTCGGAAAGCGGATAATAAAGACGCGTAGTGTAAATAGCTAAGTTGTCAAATTGAAGGAAAGTATCGTACAGTTCATTTTGAAATCTCAACACTACTTACAATATCCCAAACTGAACAACTGCGTGTCGATACTTATTCGATGTTATTCCGAAGTAAACAGTTTCGTGTCAGTGTATACGATGTTCCAAAGTGTCTATGTTTTCGATTGCTTATTTCACAAGATGAAGACTCAACATAGTCGTACAATTTTTACGAACAAGGGTAAGTGAAACAATTCCTGATTTTTATTACATACACAAATGTGTTTGGAAAACCGAGTGACGTATGCGGTTGGTCTGTTCCCCAAAAAGTAACCGTAGCAAGTAATAAAACCGTGCAATACCTCGACACGAATAGGAAACTGCAAATAAAGGACTCTACTACTAAGATTAAGGGTTCTGGCAACCACGTGTGAATAATAATAAACCGAAAATACTCGATAGAATGTAACGACTTCTTGGGTGTTATTGCTGCTACGGGTAAAGAACCTATTGATTTGAACCTATACAAAGCGTACGGAGAAACTGAAAACCGTATATTGTCGTATCGATAGAAACTTGGATCGAGGTCTAATCCTCTCTCTATAGTATTGTGTTCCAAGACCTAACATATATCTTCCAACGAATTTTCATTTCACCCGCGAACGATGCAATCGTTCTTTTCTTCTTTATTTAAATTTTTTATGCTTAAATAATTTTAAGTAAGTAGAGTATCATGGCGTACTGTATAGAAGGGGTTTTTATGGCAGATGCTAATGAGATATTAAGCAACGCTAGAACGCCCTTTGCTGAAACCATTAAAAAATTAAAGTATGTTACATTTAGAAAATTATTTTAAAACTTGTATCGATAAAGAATCCCGTGTATTGTACTATAAAGGGTGTAGCCATATTAGCAATGTAATAAGAGAATGATGTAAAAATAAATTGAGGAGGGAAAATATCATTGTTGTATTCAGTTTTGATTTTTTGGAAGTTGAATTAGATCATTGTTTTTTAGTTATTAGATGATGAGATGATCTATTAAACAGTAAACAGTGAAAATATAGTAGAGATTACATAGGGAAAATGTAATATTATGGAAAAGTAAATGTAAAAATCTATAAATTTTCTATTTTACCCAACTTCAGAAATAAAGCTTACCAATTTTTAGTTTTAGGGTTTGATAAGTTCTCAAAGTTTGGAAATTTAAAAATTTGAACTTTTAGTTTTAGAATTTTAAAATTTGATCATTTTTATATTGAGAAAGTTAGAAATTAGGAAGTTTCATACATAGAAATCTAAAATTATAAATTTACGAACTTAAAAATTCACAAATTCACAAATTTACAAACTTAAAAATTTACAAATTTACAAATTTACAAATTTACAAATACCCAAATATAGAATTTAAAAAATATAAGTTTACAAATTTTTGAATCTTAACTCTAAAAATTTTAAATAACAAATTTACAATTTTTTACACTAATTTGCATATTTTCAAATACAGAAATTTAGAATTTTAAAATTACAAATTCACTAGTTTACAAAATTACATATTTAAAAATTTTTAAGTTTACTAGTAAACGTACTTACAAGCTTCCAAATTTAAAATTGTAAATTTCTAAATTAAGAAATTTTCAACTACAAATTTACTAATTTAAAGAATTATAAAATTATGAATTTATAATTTGTACATTTATAAATTTATTAAATTACTAATTTACAAATTGATATATAGTTAATAATAAAACAACAAATTTACAAATTAAACAGTTTGCAAATTAACAAATTTCCAAAAACATAAAACCCTGAAATTTACAAAATTACCATGAGGTAATTGCTATGACTTTTATCTTTTTATGCAACCGCTGCAAGCTGCAATTAGCCAGGTTAACAATTGCTTATCACAGCATTTCAGGAATCAAGGTTATCGGTTGCCCGAGGGATAATGGTGACAAACTGTTCCAGAGTCACGTAGATGGTAACAAAAATAGTTGCAGTCGCCTCATTGCGAAGCGTCTTCCGTAGACAAATTATTTTAACAAGGTTTCTCGTAACATAATTCCATGCTGTAAAAATAATTAAAAATACTAAACAAAAACTGTTCGAAACTTGTCAATCATTATATTTTAACGAATTTCCATGCGAAGGTCTTGAGAATGATTAAACGATTGATTAATGAGCGAATTTGCGTAGTGAACTACATAAAGGCAACATTCATAAGATATTGATTGTAAATATCTGTATATAACCAATTACGCTAACTGAATTTAGATGGGAAATCATTCAAACACGAAAACGATTGTAGTCCGGAAACGGGGTCAGCCAGAACAAACATTTACGCGAACTCCCTTTCTATCGTTTCCGATGTATTTAATTTCATTCTGAAGTTACGTTCTTGGTATATTTTTAGTTTTTAAGCGTTTCACCAATGAAATTGTATTTGCGATATACCGTTTATGTTTGCACGTTGTCCAGGAATTTGTCGACTTGAAATAATGTTTACTTGAAAATTACAGCAACAATTTCTTTGCAAGTATCGCAAATTTATCCAAAATTTGTATCAAAAGTTGGGAATGCGTGAATTTTTATTTTGTTTACACATCAAATTCTATTCTGGTTCAAATAATCTTAAATTTGTCGTTTTTCAATTTAACGCACTTGAATTTGGCGCCTTTCAATTCATAACGTTTAAATATGACAGCTTTTTAATCTGATGCTTCTAAATTTGCCGCTTTTCAATTTAACACGTTTAAATTTAGCGCTTTTCAATTTAACTCATTTGAGTTTGGCGCCGTTCAATTTATTACTCGCAAGTTTGTCAACTTTTCAGTTCAACGCATTTAAATTTGGCGCCTTTCACATCGAACGTTTAAATTTCACGCCTCTGAATTTCACACGTGTTAATTCGATGCGTTTCACTTCCGCACGACATATTCAATGCAATTTAGTTCGATGAGTTCAATTCAATGCGTTTTAATTTAGCGCACTGAATTCGATGCATTTTAATTCGACGCTCATTTATTCCGAGCGATTCAATCCAACGCATTTCAATTTGCTATGTCTTAACTGGACTCGATACAATCCAACGTATTTCATTTCGACGCGTTTCAATTTGACACGATTCAATTCAACGCTCTCTTATTCAACACTATTCAATTCAACGCTTTTTCATTCGACATCATTCAACTCGACATTTTAATTTGACACGATTCAACTTGGCTCGCTTTAATTTGACACGATTCAATTCAACGCTCTTTTATTCGACATGATTCAACTCAACACGTTTTAAGTTGATACAATTCAATTCGACACGTTTTAATTTGTCACGATTCAATTTGACGCGTTTTAATTCAATTCAACACGTTTTAATTTGACACGATTTAATTTGACACGATTCAATTCGACACGTTTTAATTTGACACGATTCAATTCGACGTGTTTTGCAATAGTTTCGATATAGACGAATCTCTCGGGTCAGTACTTTTAGTTATATCGAGTAGTTCCGAAATTGACCGAAGTTTGTCGAACTTAGAAAAGAACATCGAGGAACCGATCGTCCGAACGTAAACAAACAAAACATATCGGTGGTCTAATCTTGATGCAAGAATAAAACTTCTTTGTTTTTGGTTTCTTTTATAGAACTTTTATCAACATATTTGTGACATTTTCCTGATTAAAATAAGAACAAACACGACATAATTAGGAGCACATTTAATTCGACACGATTCAATTTGACATGTTTTAATTTTACATGATTCAACTCGACAAGTTTTATGTTTGGTACAATTCGATTCAGCACATTTTAATTTCACAAGATTCAATTCGACGTTTTTTTATTTTGCACAATTCAATTCGACGCGATAGAATTTATCCTAATTCAATTCGACACAGTTCAATTCATCGTGCTGAGTATTCGAACCGAACGCTGGGTTTACACTCCGTGAATATTCGCTCGCATTCAATTGTTTGGTGCGATAAAACAGTTTGCTCAATGGCCATTTATGCCAGTGGTTCTCGATTTTGCCATAAACGAAGAGTCACACATTTGATATGTATTAGAACATGATATTAAAAAGCAGTTTCTGATTTCATATAATTTAGTATATTTTACAAAAATCGTTGTGTGTAATAATTACCATATAATTTTGCATAAAAAAGTGAATTATTATTTCTTCCTTTTTTTAACAAAATTATATATTTATTTTTACGTTGAATCTTGTGAATATTTTGTGTAAGAAGACATTATGTCAAAACATCAAAAAAGTTAGTAAGATAATTAAAAGTTAAAAAATTAATAAAGTTCGTGAGACATTTCAAAACTACAAGATTATTTTATATAAAAATTTGAAACCTCTCGGAAATATTATTTAATATTATACGTAATATTCTTTGTACGCTTTTATGCAGAATATTCTAAAGAAAATTCGAGTTAAAATCTACGTTGAAAAAAGATATGTAGTTTCATAAACGTCACCTGGATTTCTACAGAAATATGATGAATTTTAAAATTGTTCCTCTTCATGTTTTTCTAGTAGTCATACTCCTTCCAAGAAAAGAGCATAAAACATATTTGACCTCTTTTTTAAAAAATTTTTAAACTATTAATTTTATAAGAACAATTTTTGTTGTAAAACTAATAAATAACGAGATACTTGTCTGCGACCACATATAGGGACTTTTGACATGTTGTTGAAATTGACAAAATAGAGGTTCGCATAAAAATTCAGATTACTAAAAATTATACTATACATTGAGCGTATTTTTACTGAATTTTTACTTACCTGCATTTCAGTTTTTTGTACTTTGCTAAGCTTTTTATGTTTTATAAAACAGATGTCAGATGACGCTGCAGTGATACGAAATTACGGGAGTTATCACACGTGTGGACTGCAAGCTCTATCTACAGTTAATAATCGGATTTTATGTTTACGGCAATGTTCGATAGAATGTGAGACGCTGACCGCGAAATGTGAAATGTATTTATTTCCAATAAACGCAAAGCACCGTGAAAATCTTATTTTACGCGTGTTACAGTATTTATGATAACAATGAGCTGGGAAATTAGCTGTGCCGATATGTGTCGTGCGTGCATGAAAGTTGACGGCGTTCTTCTTCCTATGTACGATGACGACACGATTAGTCAGAAAAATTTGCCCGATAAGCTTGCCGAACTTGCGTCTATACAAGTTAGTAAATATATCATTTACATATACTTCTGATTCTTCAATAAATCCATCAATTTTCTTAATACGGTTGAATGTACATCATTCTATAATTTTGATACATAACCTCAATGTCGTTGTCAAACTTCCGCTTATCAGATATAATTTCAGTACCTTGTCAGTTAGACAAACATGTAAAGATAATAATTGAGATAAAACAAAATTGACTACATTTCAGCAGAATCAAATGGCACTCAATATAGTTGAGATAAATATTTTGCACTTCAAAAAATTTAAAGTTTCAAATTGACAATAGATATATTGATTGTAACTTACCGTATATTTTATTGTACATGTTCATGTTTTCTGTAATAAAGTGTTTTAAAATATTGGTCCTACAGTTATGAAACAAATCAATTTCCTATTATTTTTCCTTTTCTTAGGGAATATAATCTATTCTTTTCTAGAGAAATATTATTTCTCAATATCATTTTGTGGTTTGGTTTAGTTTTAATTTCAATATATAAAAATTTTAAATGTCAGGATAATTTTTACAATTATCATATGCTATGTACATATATGTATAAGTGTATATATTTTTGTTTTAAAATTTATTATTTAATTCTACTTTATAATTAATCACATAATATGCCAAACTATAAATTATCTTAGGAGCAACTGACTTAAACAATATTATTTATAATTTACAATATTATAGATAACAACATTTGTTCTAATTGTAATATGTAATAATTATAATTCTATTTGTACTAATCATATTTCATAATTTTATTGTAGATTCTAATTTACTAAAACTTCATATTTTAAGAACAAAAACTTGTTTATCTTTTGCAGATCGACAGATTTGATGGTTTGCCCAATATGCTTTGCGCAAAATGTGCTTATCGTACTGATGCATTTTACGACTTTAAACTGCAGGTTCAAGCCACTGAAAAAAAGCTTCGTAAGATGTTTGAAACGCAAATTCGATATGCTGTAAAGGTAAGCACTGTATGTTTTTATTATTACTCAGCTTTATTGTTTTCTATTTTCTTTTAACATCCCCTAATTCCATATATATTTTGATTTTTATCTCCTAATTTTATATAATCTTTTGTAATTTCAAATTACTTGCAATGTTTAAAATACATATATTAGTAAAACATGTAAAGATCTATTTTAACTATTAATTTTATAGCAGAATTGTTGTATCTTAGTTACAATTTAAGAATATTAAGAGTTCTGTAATTAATTTCTAAAAAAATCATTAGAAGAGGGTCACTTTTTGCTACATAACTATTATAACAGATATATATTATAAAAATAGTCCCTCAGTGTTCCAGATTTAAAATAAACATATTCTTTAAGACAGATTTCATTAAAAAATGATTAAAAAACTCAGTCGTTGTCAAGAGAAAAAGTAAACGTTGTACTAGTAACAAGTATCCAAGTATCAATATTGAATAATATTGGTGGGAAGCATGACACTAGCTGAATGTTAGAACTCAAACTTCTATTGCTAATCGTGTTTCTTTATACTATAAGTGTTATGGCATAGTTTCTGTTACATTGAATTGTCTTTAAACTCCTTTATGTAGATCAGGCATGGCCAAGTGGTAACTTATGAGTCATACTTTGTTACATACTTCTTCTCTTCAATAAGTCATTAAGGAGCAATTTTCACTACATCTATAATGTAGGACTGGAGAGAAAAGCAAACACAATTGGATCTGAGAAGAATCTTAGACCAGTATATTCAATAGGTCCACATTCCTTCTAACTAATATCTCATATTAGAAATTTAGAAACTTCAGAGATTAAAAATTTTCTGATTTCAAAATCCTAAAACTTGTAAATGGGGTTAATTAACAATATGAGAGTTTAATGTATTCAAATTAGTTTTACATATGTAAATAGCTTCATGCAAGTTGACTTGTAGGCACATGGATTCACTAATATATAAGGTGCAAACCATCTGGTAATGTACTTGTCAGAGAGACATTTGGTCATGTCTTATGTAAACTATAGCTTCTTATATTGATCCAATTGTACAGCTCACGCGTATTCGCGTTTCCTTATTTCTATAAACTTTCTCCTAATTTTATGTCTATACTTAATCTTTCCAAACCAGAGTTTTTAAATCATTTTTGAATGAAATCTGTCTTAAAGAATATGTTTATTTTAAATCTGGAACACTGAAGGACTATTTTTATAATTTTTATAATATCATATGATTTGTTATAATAATTATGTAGCAAAAAAATGATGACCATCTTCTAATGATTTTTTTAGAAATTAATTAAAGAACCCTTAATACTCTTAAACTGTAATTAAAACATAACAATTCTGCTATAAAATGAATTAATAGCTAAAATAGATCATTACACGTTTTTAAATTTAAATCAAAATAAATATCATGTACATCACAATGTGTACAGGGTATGGAAGGGTTAAACGTAATTTGGAAGCAACAACAATGTTTTGAATTGGTTTCATACTGTCTTTCAGGAAGAAACAGTAGGCAACGATCAGGAACAAGAATGCACTGAGCAGTCCAACGAATCATTGGTGAAACTATTAGAGGATAAGCACAAGGACGCGAAGATAGATGTTTCGGACGAGTTTTTATCTGAAGAAATAAACGCAGTTGTGAAAGAAGAGCAAGCATTAGAATTGGATGTGTCCGAGTTGGTAGAAGAAAACGTAGATTTCAATAAAACCGAGTTATCCGAACTGAGAGGCATCATAATTTCAAAACTGTCCGGGACAGAAGTCCAAGATCAGGATAGGCGACTGAACAGCGAAATACCCGAAGAGATTTCGAAGATCCTAGAGTCCCAGCAGTTAGATTACACCATAATGTACATACCAGAAGAGGAGGTATCTCTGGAGCACATAAACGCCGATAACGTGCTCTCCTGCGACGCCGTTATGAAATTAGAGAATACCAAAAAGGTAATAGAGTGTAACGGCGAGGGTCTACACGACCCAAACAACGAAGAGTACCTTATAACCGTATGCGACGATAAGCTTGAAGAGAATACCTTGGAAAGCAGGCGGGCGAGCCCCGACCTGGAGTCTATCTGGAAACCTACAGTTCCAGAAGAAAGGGTGAACGGTAAAAGTGCAAGAAAAGTTTCTCCGGAGTTAAGCGAGCAACAAGCTGAAGAGAGTGATGGGTCTGACTCGGATTACTTCGTGGACCCGAAGGACAACATTCTGGGTAGTCTAAACGACACGATCACGCGAATAAAGGAGATCAAACTCGATGACGACACTATACAGTATCAATGCACCTTGTGTTTACAGAACTACGACAAACTAACTGGTGTTTTATTGCACACCATAGATAATCACGTGCCCAGCAGTGGTCCGTTCTTCTGCGTGGTATGCGAGAAGGATTGCGAGAGCCACCGGGAGCTGCGGACGCACGTGAAGACGCACACTGGCCAGTTACCGTACTCATGCTTCATGTGCAACAAGGCGTACACGATGAAGAGGTACTTGAAACGGCACATGGTGTGCCACACGGATTTTCCCAGGCACCGGTGTCCGAAGTGCGGGTCTAGGTTTAAAGTAAAGTCGGAACTAGAATCCCACATCGCGACACACATACGTGGGGCGCCCTACGCGTGCAGCCAGTGCCCCCGGTTGTTTAACCACAAAGGCAACTACAAGCGACACCTTATTACCCACCTGGACCCGCAGGGACTACACTTACCCAAGTATCCCTGCAAGGTTTGCGGTAAAAGGTTCCTCAACAACCGAACCCTAGAGACGCACATGCGCGTTCACACTGGCGAGAAACCTTTCAAGTGCGACGTGTGTGGCAGGTCCTTCTCACAACAGGGAAATCTGTTGAACCATGTGAGGATTCATTCGAATCCTAGGAGCTACACGTGCGAGGTGTGCGGAAAGCGATTTAATCAGAGAGCGACTCTGAGGGATCATAGTTTGTTGCACACTGGAGAGAAACCGTACGTCTGTAACGTTTGCGGCATAGCTTTTACATTCAGCGCCGCGTTGAGACGACATATGTGGACTCATACTGGCGGCAAACCGTTCGCTTGCGAAACGTGCAGTGCCAGATTCGTCGGTAAGTACGATTTGAGGAGGCACATGAGGATACACACCGACAGACCCAGGGCGAAACGGAGGAAAACTGGGATCAAGTCCAACGATACACAGCAGGAGGCTAAAGACGAAAGTATTTCGGTTTCCGAGCATCCGGACACGGAGACTATACTCATCGAACAGGTCCTTCTTAGTCAGGATGTTACCCAAGTTGTACAGCAGCAGGAGTCCGAGAAGGAGAACGTCGATGCGCTTTTTAATCTGATACAGTACGGTTAAACATCGTTTAAGCTGTTTTCTTTGTACATGTTTTTGAAAAATAGGATATACAGTTTGTCGTGTACTTATGATCGAACTGTTCTTCCTCTTTTATAATTTTATTCTCGCTTGTCTCGTCCCTTATATTTAATTCTTTTCTTTAATAAGAATATTACATCGACATATTTTTAAACAATATTGTATATTTTTATCGAGTACATGTGCGCGTGTATGTCCTGTGGAAAGTACGTAAATTTTAAGGGGGTGTTCTAGTCTAGATTTTTTGCATTTTTTGGAAAATTGCAGATGAATTCATTTGAATTTATAGTATTAACAAAGACATAATATTAAACATCTGTATATAATTAATGACGACAGTTTGAAATCCCATACATAATGATAATATATATTTTTCGTTTTATGTTCAATTTTTATTTTTCGTATGTTTGTAATTTCGTACACTTTTCGCATGTAAATACAATGATGTCTTATTATATAGCCCTACATTTATCTTGAGGCTTTCTATATGCAAAATATCTGCTCCTTTAATGTCGGTAGACTTATTTTTAAATCATTGGCTTTTTAAATATATTTGATGCGTAATCAAATAATTATTGTTTAAGTACAAAATATTTTTAAAGTTGAAAATTTGTATTTTTTTGCTAAATCAAATTTATCAAACACTGAAGTTATTAGAATCTAGGTTCAAGTTTTCAGAATACAAAATTTGATAAGAAATGGTTATTTCTTGTAGCGTTTTAAACATAGGTTGCTAGTTGAACTATGTAATTATTTCTATTAAATGTTAGTCTTAAACTCTGGAAATTTTCAGATTTCCAAGTTCTCAAATTTCCTGAATTTTTCCAAAGATTTAAATTTACAGATTAACTATTGCATAGGTTTCTTAATTTCCAAGTCACTAAATTCCCAAACTGAAGTTTTTAAATTTCCAAATATTCAAAGGCTCCAGTTTACAAAATTCAGAATTTACAAATTTTCAAATCGCCAAATATACTAATTTTCAAACTTCTAAATTACTAGATCATGAAATTTCCTAATATCCAAATCTGAAAATTTCCACATTTCTAAATCACAAAATTTGCTAATAGAATTGATGGCAGTATAACAAGAGTACTCGTGCCTAATTGGAATTTTACAAAAATAGTATGTAAATATTCTTTAAACTTAAATGAATGTACATATAGAACATAGAGTGCCAAAAAATCTTGTGATTTTATTGTAAAAAATATATTTATAAACATGATTCGAAGTGGTAGTTTTGACTAGAATACCCTCTTAATTATGGGAATGTCAATTAATAGGTTTCAAATTAAGGTAAAGAAAAGTGAATGTCCCTAGTTCCCAATTTTTTGCAGAAGCAATTTCGTTTTAATTAATTTATCTGAGAAATTTAACTTCAGATGAAAAAACAGATGTATATTTTAAATTTACCTTTAAGTATTGTGATAAACCACAGTCAGCGTCTCCTTTCATTTTTCTTTTTTGACATAAACATTGTGTGAATGATTCACCACTTCCTTCTTAGAAAGACAAGAAATATTTTTTATTGTTTTATTTAAGTATTCTTGGCTTTTTCATTCAAATATTCTTGACTACAATTTTGTACAGTTTATTTTCAGTAATTTATGTTATTAGTAAATGATAGTAGCACTCTTTTGTACATACATAATTTATTAGCAAGTGCTCCTAATGTGAGCTTCCACATTGCTAACAGTGATAGAATATTTACATAAAACTTCCTTTTTATGATACTTTATAAGAATAAGTTTAAACATCTTAAATCTAGAGGTCTAGCATGGAAATGAAATTCTGCATCCTCTTTTTTCTCAACAGTCAGGAAATGTATTATATAACATTTTTTGAAGTTGATAGCAGTTTAATAAAGAGAGAATTTAAAAAGTCATAAATAACCTTAAATGACTTCAACAGACTAACATATAGATCATTAAAATCATCTCTGAATGAACTATACCTGGTTAAATGAAAATACATGAAATTCTATTTAAAAGAAAAAATAGGTAAGCAGGTCCCTACCGTACGTAATGGCATACATTATGTCTAATTCACAAAAAGCATTTTTAAAATCGATAGATAATAAAATTTTCGTAAGTGAATGCTTACTTTTAAAAAGGGAAGTTGTTTTGTTGCGCTCTTAACGTTTCAGAAATGAAATTCTACGAACAATTTCAAAAGGTAAGTTAATATTATTTATAATTGAATTTTACATTCATCACGGAAGTATGCAGTGATTTAATATGTCAAAGAGATATAGAAGACAATAACTGATCGTAAAGTAATTAATTTAAAAAACTGAAAATATTTTGAAAGTCTTCTTTCTGCACGTATTTTAAAATTTATACTTTCGCGCGTCCTAATTAAAAATAGTGTGGCGGTTCCATGGAGTACAGATGTAATTTGTAGTCACTGTTTATGGTGAGTCCTTCCATTTTTCAATGGACTCGTTCCTGTTTTCTGTGCACAAAAGGAAGGAAGGAAGCCGCCTATGTGAATTCTAATGCGCATGCAAAGTTCAATATTTCGGCACTTTGGCGACGTAGTATGGTTTCTGAGGCATTTAGAAACAAATTTCTATTAGGGTTTGATGCGTTTTGGTGCCTAATAAAGCCAGAAAATCACTTTTTGTCGAATTTGGTCCAAAACGGTACAGGTGGCGCCATCTAGCGGCGAGCGGCGGTACTACGAAAAACTAAAATTCCTATTTACTCCGAAAGTAGGCAATTTTACGTATTTCTGAGGGTCAGAAATTGTTCTGTGACCTCTCTAGAACCTATATAACGCCACAAGAACCTCCTGAGAGCGCTAGAAAAGAAAATAAAAAAATAGGTCCAAACATGGACTAAAAAATTGGCATCCATCTAGCGGTGAAAGTTGGAACTACAAAAAAATAAAAATGCGATTTTCTCGAAAATTAGCGAACTTTGAGTACTTCTGAGGCTCAGAAAGTGTTATGTGATCGCATTAGAAGCAAAATAAAGCAATAAAAGCTTCCTAAAGGCATTATTAAAGAAAATAAAAAAAATGTTATTTTATGGTGAAAATTTGTGGCGCCATCTAGCGGCGAAACTGCGAACTAAACTGAAAAAACGCCCGTACGCGCGGTAAGGAAAAATATAAAAAGTAATATTTCGCAACTTTGACGACGTAGTATGCTTCTTTAGATATTTTAAAGGAATTTTTGTTGAATAAGTTATTCATTGTTTTGCCTATTAAACCCTATTAGGTCACAGAACAATTTCTGACCCTCAGAAATACGTAAAATTGCCTACTTTCGGAGTAAATAGGAATTTTAGTTTTTCGTAGTACCGCTGCTCGCCGCTAGATGGCGCCACCTGTACCGTTTTGGACCAAATTCGACAAAAAGTGATTTTCTGGCTTTATTAGGCACCAAAACGCGATTTTATTAGGCATCAAGACGCATCAAACCCTAATAGAAATTTGTTTCGAAATGCCTCGGGAACCATACTACGTTCGCCAAAGTGCCGAAATATTCATTTTTTTTTTCCTCATATGCGTGTTCAGACCCTTATTTTTTAGGTTTAGTTCACTCGTTTCGCCGCCAGATGGACACCAATTTTTTAGTACAAAACTGCACTGTTTGTAACGGTTTGCTACTGCGCATGAGGTCAAAGTTCAAAATTGACCGTTAATTTCCAGAGTGCATTTCAGCCCGGAGTGAAATTTTTTCACCCCTTAAACCTAGACAGTTGAAGTTGGTCTCGATATGTCCAAGAATATTTTTTAAACGAAGATATATGCATAAAACTGTATATTTATCCGGAAATAGTATGTTTAAAATGTATGTGTTGAATGTCAAACGGTGGGTGTTTTGCAATATTCCCAATAACGAAAATTCCAAGCGCGAGCAAATTCAATTTTTACATTGAACTCTATGAGGATCAGTTTTTTCGGTGATTATTCCTCCGTGGCAAGTCCGATTTAAAATTTTTTTTCTACGTCCATCTGCATGTACATACGCATGTGTGTGCAAAATTTGATGAGAGTTGGTTGAGTCGTGCAAAAGAAAAACGCGGACAAGGAAGTTGCAAAGTCAAGTAGAAGAGCTTCGCTCAATAATTAAGAAATTATTCACTCACAAACAATAAAAATGATATATTTGTAAATCACAAACAATTTCCAATGAATTGCAGTTAGTAGTTATCACAAAATCTATATGTATATTATAAAAAAAAGTACTAGAACATCATGACTGAAATAAAACATAACTAATTTGTCACAAACGTTAAAAATAGATTCACAATCAATCACAAATGATTTACAAACGAATTTGTACTAAAAAAAATTTGAAATAATTACATTTTATTATTTCTTCCAGCTAGTTTCATGCAGGTTATCCCCACTGTATTTGGCATGTGCATTTAAATTGGTTGTGCCACTTTGTCTCTTTCTAAAAGTAGTTTCCTTGTCAAAGTGTCTCCTCCTGTTATATCCCTACTCTTTACCGTCATACATATTATTTTCAGCATCTACTATTCTGTATCTTCAGCGTCTAAGAATTAATTGGTTATTAATTAGGAAATATCTATTACACATGAGAATTTGACGTATTAATTAAATTAGCAGTTCACAGACACATAGAAAAAATATTTGTGACAGATACATATTTATGTAGTATATTGGTATTATTTATTTAGAATGATTTTTATACAAAGTAAAGCACATCTCTATTTCGCATAACTTATTTAATAAAATGCACAGTATTTACATTTTACATAAGATACGTTTCCTTCTTTTCTGCAATCGTTTGAAACTATTCCCTTTCTCAATTTAGCAACGAATAATTACTAAATACTTAGCGATATTTATAACACATAGATGTTATACTTATCTAAACATCACACTGGAAATTCGTTTACGATTAGTAATTACATCTTTTTCATAACTACTAGTATACTTTGTACATTACAATAATATTTACATCCTTTCTTTTCATCGGTAATATGTATATAATATCAAAAACATACAAAATTGAAAATATAATTTTGTCGTATTATTCTTCCAAAAAGCTCTGGATATGTAATCACCCAGGAAAAGGCGTGTAGAAAATGTATGCGCAACTTTTTCCGAACTCTACTACAAATATATGTCTGAAATCGCTTTGAAGAATGAGCCGTTTATTAGTCCTTTCTAAGTCTATTATTTTTTCGTTTTACATGGCGATGAATAATATGAAAGACCGCTATTACAGCCGTCGCGATTATAACGTATAATTTTGACATATGATTCGTATTGTCTTGTGACTTTTATAAATGTGATCTCAAAATTTTATTATAGCGTACATTTGCGACTTTAAACTACGAATTTCATATTTTATTCTAGCATTCTTTTAAGTGATTTCGTTTAATTTGCCTGAAATAATTTAATGTAACAGGTTATACAATATCAAATTAACGATATCAAAATATATTAAATTTGATATAATTTGGTGACATGAAGTAACATAAAATGGTACCTACAGCATATTAATTTAGAGCTTAAAGTTTGAAGAAAATTGCTACATAAATTATTAATTAATATTTACTGTATGTAATGACAGTGTGACAGTTAACTAACCAATTTAATTTTTTATTATCAAATTGTATCAAATTGTTTCAAAATCGATATCATATAACCTAGAACAATCCATACTCAATAAAATTTAAGCAAATTAACTTCATTGATTCACATTATGAGATTTATAAATTTGTAACTAAACATTTAACTTAATTTTGATTCTACATAATTAGAATTTCGATTATTTTCTTTCTTGTAACTATAATTTAATTATTATTCTTCTTTTTTTAATGGATGAAATAGAGGTATTTCTATCTTATTTTTATTAAACATACAATGTAGTTTTCCTACATGGCACTTCTTTTTATAGCCTGTGAAGGGAGTTTTTCTTTATCCATGATTTTAAAATTTTCAAATAAGCTAATTCGAAAATTTTGAAATTCAAAAATCATGAATCTATAAATTTGTAGACTGAAAAATCTAGAAACCACTTTTATATTGTGAAGATCAAAGCTTCTTAAATTTAAAAATTTTTTTATTTTTATACTGAGAGTTTTAGAAATCTCAACAGTGAAAAATTAAAAAAATTATAATATTCATTTATATGGTTTCATTAAATATTTTCCACTCCCGCAAATTCATCTAGTGCCACATAACGAAACTCTATTGTATGTAAATATTTTCGTATCAAATGCAACCTGACATATTTCAATTATATGTGTTATAGCAGAAACGATTGTACTAAATGCTACCATTTATTGTTATATTGAGCGTATCTTGAGGTTTTGACGGAATGTAATAAGTTGTGCTATCTTTATATATTACTTGTATCAAAATAAGATTCTTTAAGAAAGTTCGCTTCAAATATAAACCTACCGTTGTTTGTATTAGTTGCTTAATCATATTTTGTATGAGAAGAATTGACTTTTTCAGACTTTATAAAAATGTTGCAGCATTTTGCATTTGGAACTTTCATATTTTGTTAAGATTTGTGCGTTTTGTTGCTGTAGCTATCGACACAATATCAGTTACTCTGCCATTTAGAAAATTGTATAAAGAGTTTGGATTTGTGTATCCATGGAATGTTACGATTCGATAAAAAACTGCAGCGCGTAAAAAGCTATAAATTTACAAATATCCAAAAGTACACTTTGAATTCCGCTTCAAATATAAATGTGCTTTATCGTTACTTATCGTTATTTAAACTACATATTTCGTTCTTCGTTCTCTCCTTTTTCTTAGAAACTCTCAAACAAACGATCAACAGATATCAATTAAATTTGAAAATGATAAATATTTCAAACGCATATAACAATCAACAATAATTAAATGGAAACAATTTCCAGATATAATCACTTAAAGATATTAATAATGGAAAACAATGCAAAAATAGTCCTACAAATTCTTCTAAATACACATTTCTACATCTGTTTTCTGCGAGTATGTTTATCAGCATTGTACAACAGAAAAAAAACGGACTGAACAAGTAACAAAATTTCGGTTAAAGTCAATTACCATCCATTCAAAATGTCACTTTAAATTTATGCTGTTTTGGCTGTGAATGAATTTATAGCACCGTATAAGTGACTCACGTGTCAGTGACACTAGTATTAAATTCAAAAAATCGATCGTATAAATTTTTACAATTGTCATATCTACAATTCGCCCATCATGCGTCCATCTCGTTGCCATTGTTTTCAATGGTGTCGTACAAAATACCTTCCTTCACCTTTTTTTAATTTAACAAAAACTCAACTACGTAACCTTTTCAAATTGTCATGAGATTCCAGTAATAAATATCAACGTTGTTTAGTCAATAAAAAAAAAAGAAAATTCAATTTTTAGGTTCATTCCACGTACATCTCATTCGTTTTCTTTTTTCTTTGCAACTTGTATTGAAAACTATAAGCACTTTTATTACGAAATGGTATACAGCTTTTAAGGCAATCCCCGTAGAATCATAACGTTGGTAATCTAACCTAACAAATAATATTGAACGATTGTGCAAATCTGAAGATTTATAGTTCTAGTTCTTCGGCAGTGCGAGAAAGTCTGTGATTATCAATGCGTCTACGTTGACTACGTCTAACTGCATCTGCTCTTCGATATGGTTCTGACCTTAGCCCAAGAAGAATGTCTTCAAGTGCACCGTTGTAAACCTCATCCTGTTGCAAGAGCTTCTTCTCCTGAACCAGTCTTGTTTTGTTTTTTAACTCATTTATCACAGCATCCTGCAGAAAATTGTAAAATATTTGTCAATTATCTGCTTCTTTAACAGTATATTTAGAAAAACATTAGATTTTTTCATCAGACAATAACAATAAATTCTGTAAATATATTGGGTGTTTGAAATATTTAAACATTATTTAAATCCATTAGCAAGTATTATTTTCTTTAAAATTTGAACAATTAAAAATATTTTAAGTATTATGTATGTAAATATATGAAGCATTCATCATTAAACTGGTCATCCTTTTTTATAAAAATTGGAATAAATCTCTTCCTAGGCATAAATAGAAGGTATAGGTTTTCTAATTCCACAGATTCTTAGATTTATAAACTCTCAAATTTCCCAAAGTCTTACATTTAGAAATCTATAAATTTCCAAGTTGAAAAATCAACAAATGTTCAAATTTATAGATTTTCAAGATATAAAATTTTCAAAATTCAGAAATTTGTAGTGCAATTTCTGAACTCTTTGAATATCCTACATATATAAATATGGGTATATGTATAATACTAATAAAAATTATAGCTTCAGAAAAAGAAGCACCCAACTAATATATGCATATACCTGATCAGTGCTAATATTTTATTATAGATAAGTTAAATGTTACCTACAATTAATAATAAATAAACCTATATAGTTTAATATTCTATTTAATTGCTATTCCGTTAATTTATATGCATCTATTCAATGAAACTTTTGGCAGTAGCATAGGAAAGTGATAATGAAGGATTTCTCTCAGGCAACATCAATGCAAGCTCTAGAACATGCCGATGCATTTTTTAATTTTTTGTTAATGATATGGATCAAATGAATATAGTTTTGTACCACCAAATTAAGAAAACAGTTCTTTGGAAACGTAAAAATAATTTCAACTATGTGTTTCTATAAACAATAATTTGCAACAAGAATTTTGCAATAAAATTGAATGGATAATTAATTGAAAGAAATAATCAAAATAAAATTTGCATTTTAAATTCATGACAAGAAAATGTTTCCATAAATTATTTGTTATTAAATCAAATAATATTTTGAGAAATATACAAATTATTGGAGATGTCATGTCCATTTATATTGACCCTCATATATGTTATCAAGAATATGATTATGAGTAACTTTCTCTTATAACTTAACTTAGAAGATTATTTTATAATTTCTAAGATATTTTGATAGTTGAAATGAACAACATTGTAACTTTAACATAAGCATTACTTAGTTACATTGTTATTTGTATAAAATATTGATTAAGCACGAGGTAATTATTTACTTTAATGCTCATCGAGGCAAAATTGTAAGAATATCCTAATATAAAAATGAATCCCTTTTCAAGTTTAAATAACTTTGAAATTATAAGAACAATTAAGTAAGTTAGAGAGAAAAGTTATTCAGGCTCGTGTCCTTCACAACATATCAAGATAAATATAACTGAGTTTAGCGCCAAGAATTTGTACATTTATCAATATTTTCATATTTTTCATTAAGTATTGTTGGTGATTAAAACATTGGGTGAAATAAAAATATAATAGTGTTTACCTTGAAAGAAAACATGAGAAAGAACCGTTTTCGTATGATGTTTAGAGTGTATCCAATATATGGCTCAAAAATAAAGCTGAACTAACATGTGTGTTGTCTAAATGCAGTGTATGCGGGAATGCACTTGCCAAAAATATGTCATTAGAAGGAAGTGAGTGAGGACAGACTTACATGTTGTGAATTGTTTCTACATTGTTACGTTCTGAGCTCCAGTTCATTAAGATGCCGATGTAACAGACTCTTGTTCGTGTTACAGCAAAATTTCGGTGACTTTAAATCCAAATAAATATGTAACAAATAAGAAAAACAGACGTACGTGAGACACCTTAATAGACATGTCTGTTCGTGAAAACGGAAAAAAAATATGCTAAAAGAGAGCACTTCTCAAATAATTTAAATCATAATTATTTGATAATCCCCGCAAAATATATCATGCTATTTCACAACATGCAGCGAAACAAAGGCTTTGAAAATTAATTTTCACACGAGCAGTTTTCCCTGAATTGACACTCGATGAAGTTGATCAATAATTTATATGAAGTACTTTTCTTTGTTCACAATTAGTATTGACTGTTAATTTCAATTAGAATTGTTGTGTTAAGAAAACATGGTAATAAAAGTTAAGTGGTAGAAGACACGAATAATTTAGTGACGACAAATGTTTTATAACCAATTGTTTGGTGTGAATTATTTAAAATTTTAAAAATGCTGTAAGTTACAAGATCTGCAGGCTTTTAATAAAGTAATCATGCAAAATCATAAACAATAAATAATTATAAAAGCCATATATGTAATTTGACATTACACATTATGTACACATGTTAAGAAGAAATTGAAAAATAAATCTGTTCAATGATTTGTTTAACAAAGTATTTACAATTGACAAAAAAGGCTACCCAACATTTCCTAACTCACTCAAATATTACATTGAATATTAAACTTAAAATTGGGACAGTGATGAGACACTATTCCAGACATGTATATATAACATCTATTCATCAACTGATTCGTGACAAAATCAATTTGTGTTTCAAACACTCAAAAAATAAATCAAAAAACAGTGTTTAACATTTTAACAAAGGAAACATAAAATTTAAAGAATTGATGTTGAAAAAAAGAAAGAGGCAGAGAGGATACAAAAATATAATCCCTGATAAATACATATCATAACTTAAAATTCTATTCAAAAGTTTGAAAAGTTCTGAAAGCATGAAAAGAACAAATAATATTACACGTGTTAACCATAAATTATAAAATAATATTGAAACATTCAATCTGTGTTTAAAATGCAACGTTTAGCAATTATGACTAAATGTAATGCCTGTTATAAAAAATGCTGAGTTTTAAGTTAAAGATTTAAATGCAGTAAAGTAACTGGAAATTTAATAAGCATCGTACAAAGAAAAATGTCAAGATGCGGTTACTGATTTGTCATCTATATTGAAGTTATGAATGTAGAAATAAATTGTTTTCAGAAAAAAAGCGGTAAGCACAGCTTTTGAAGGGTCTCATTAACAATATGAAGTTGATAGTGTACTTAACTTAAAATAAAACAATAAATTGGTTTACTTTCTTTTTAAACAATGTCTTTAGAATAAACTGTGACTGTAGCTTTGAGGGTACAGTCAAAGGAATTTTTACACATTTCATTTAAAAGATTTGTATAACCATTCAAAGTTTTGTATTAGGTTAGGTATGCTACAACCTTATATTTTTAAGAGAACCCCATCAAACTTGTACGATACCAAAGAAGCCTTTTTAATGCATAAGCGTGCAATATATGATCATGATAACTAAGATAAATATAATTTTGACCCAAAATAAGCGGTAAAAGTAAATAACTTAATATAGTATACCTGCTGCTTCTTTTGATTTAATTTATTTCGTTTAATCACGTCTTCTGAAGCGTTCAAAGCTTCCGCGGCAGCAGCTTCTAATCTACGTCGCTGTTCATTTTCTTGATCCGCAGCCTGAAAAAGTATCTTACATTATTAACAAACGTATTCGTTCTCTGTATTTGTTTTTATGATTAAACATTTCTTAAGTTGCAATAGCATATACATGGACAAGTGCAATCAGGTTATCAGCTATGAGGGAACAAAATTTATCCTAACATTTAGAATGGATCTTAGAATTTTACATACATAGTAGGAATTATTATTAATAAATATAAAATAATTTTTTTTTATTCAAAGGGGGTAAAATCTGTTACCTCTGAAGGGAGAAGCAAAATTTATCTTAAGGTAAATTTTTTTATATTACTATATTATACAGATTTTAAATTTATCTGTCCAAAAAATATATTATTAGCAATTGTAACTTAATCTTGTTACTGTAAAAAGAACAGAAGCCACTTTCTTTCTTTAATGTTCTTCTTTGTCTACCTAATTACACCCACATGTAAATGCATAATAATTTACCTTAAATGCCCTTGCGAATCTAACGAGAAGAGAGAAGAACGTGTTAGCATCGGCTTGTCTGGGACTTTCTCCAAAAAATTCAACGCATTCTCGGAATGCATCGCCAGCAGCTCGAGCATCAGATTTTAGACGGCGTAACTTTTCTTCGGAGTTATTCAAGAAATCTCGCAGTACCGTGTTATGTTTTTCTTTGCCCCGAAGTTCAAACTCTTTCCTCACGAGATCCATACCCTTCTCCAACTCGTGAACATCCGTCGTTATATTTTCTAACGAAACTGTAATTAACAAGAGAAAATAAATAATATCGTATAACATTCAAATCAAGTAACTTCATATTTTCAAAGTTAAACAGATAGAAATTAGGGTTTCTGCAGGTCTAGTTTCAATTCAAGTTCAGTTTTAATTTAACTTGGCTGAATGAAAATGCCAAGTACAGCTTCAAACTTTTGCCGTTTATGGCGCCATTATTGTACATGCTACTTGCATTCAATTTTACTTATTGATGATAAATTATTATGATCTAATGTTGTTTTTGATTATCATAATCAAGAAGTTCATATATTAATTAAAATAATTAACAAAATGATCTAGATGAAGTAAAAATCTTACGGGGAAATGACATCTTTTTTCTTAATTTTAAACAAAACATTATGGTTTTATACCAATTAACTTGGACAATAACTTAACGTTCATAGATTTCACTTTCTGTTGTCATGTTAATTTTAAAATTAATTAGCAGTTTGTAAACCTAATGTGGGACACAGAAAAATGGAAGTGAACGTAATTTCCGACATATTTTAATGCGATATGTAAGATAGTGGTGCCCTCTAGGTAGTTTTACAGATATTCTTCACATCCAGCTCAATTGTGAAGAAACGTTATAACATTACCTGTTGCTGCTTTGTCGATATACATAAGCTCCGACTCGAAGTTGATCAATTCCGGAAACTTGACGCGTATCGTTGCCACAATGTAATGTAAAAGGCACATTCTCTTATCGGTTGATTTCGTATCGAGCAACGTGTCTAAACTCTGAAGTTTGAATCCATAAGCAGGGCCTCGTTTGCTGCTGTTCAAGTAATTTCCGAACGCAAGAATGATCTCCAATACCGCCCTAAGCTTTTTGGAGCTTTTGACTGTACTCGATGCAGATATTACAGCGTGTATTTGCGGAGTGATCAGGTGTAGATTATCGAAAAAGTTTCCGATGTAGTTCATGATGGACAACTTGGTCGATATCCGCTCTACTTTACCGAGCTGCATCAAGAACTTGTCTTCTTCTGTTAGAAGGTTCACATTTTTCTTTTCGATGATGTACTCTCGGTATGCTTTGATCTGCAACAAATTCAACATAAAGTCGTCATTATTTAATATATTCTATAATTTTGTTGTGATTCACAGACCATAGAATTAACCGCTATTAAAATCACTATGAAAGTAGAACTTCAGAATATTGGAACTTTATAGTATATAAAGTAAAAATACCTCTTGATCCGTAGGTACCATACGCTGCAACAGCTCCACATTTTCCAGCGAAAGTATCTTCAAATCAAGCGCATTCACGGCCATAATAACTTTCTCTACAGGCATTTCCATTTTCCTCCTCGATATGGCTGCAAGTATCGACAAAATTATATACATTAGGTGTACACATAAGTAGTAAAGAATAAATAATGATTGAATATCATGGTACCAATATTTCTTAATCTGGTATGTTCCAGAAGAGACACGTTTTCTGGTTTCTTGAATCTCTTGCTAGGGAAACTTTGAAGACCATCGATTTCGTTGGTGCCGTTAGCAACGTGCCCGCCCATTCCGATCTTAAATCGTTCCTCAAAATCTGAGAAGTCTATGTAATTGTGCAGTCTGTCGTCATCTAGCTCGTTGAAAATCGTCCCTCGTACTTGATTAGGCTTCAACGCGATCCAATTTAATGTAGGAAGTTTGTACTTCGTTTGAACCTATAATCAGGAACAAGTACTTAGTTACAGCGTCTGAATAAATTGAACTATTTAATTAATTGGATATAGTACTCAATTAACTTGTTTCAAGTATTTAGTTAATTTGTTATGAGTAGCTTTACACATTCCTGCATCCTCAAATTTCTAGGTCACTAAATCCCCAAATTCCTATATAGAACACAAATGCCTATATCCCTAAATTTCTAATACATCTCAAAATTTAAAATTTCTCAAAAGTCACAAAAAATAAATTTTATGTTGATTGGGAGACTTCATCTTATTTTTCCTATGGAAAATCTTATCGGTACCTTTCGTTTAATAGTCATTGCGCCATCTGGTGCCTGCATCATGCCAGCAGGTGGCGGAGGTATAGGCGCAGGCGGTGGCAATTTTTGATCTCCTGGTGAAAGAGGCGCCATTGGAGGTAGAGGTGGACATGGTGGTGGAGGTGGTGGAGGTGGTGCAGGAGCAGGTGGAGGTGGTTGTGCTGATGTCGGTGATGGAGTCGAATTTAGCGTTGAAGACGTCACGTTCTCCGAACTGCTAAGAGGACTGGTTGCTGATCCATTTCGAACATTGGCTATTTAATATTAATTATAAAATTAAAAATATTATTCTATAACTTCCTATGACTATAATTGTATATGTTGAAGTGGTAAAGTGAATATTCAACAAAATTACTACGTTGTATACAAATTTGCTAGTAAAGTGAAATAGGACAGTAAAAAGAAAAGATAGTAAAATAATAAAATAGTACAAATGTATAAATTGAATAATGTTAAAATAACAAGACGTTACAATAAGAATACTGAAAATATTTAAATGACCCAATGGCAGAATGGTACAATCGTACAATAATAAAACACTAAAACAATAGTAAAATATTAAAGTACCAACATATTGTATGAATACATTTCAAATCACACAATACAATTATAATAATATTCTTTTAATTTTAATTATTAAAAACAAAACATTACACCTTACTCATATATCATGGAATCATTTTACTCTTGTTTAATATTAAACATAATTGTCTATTAATAGTACATTAAGTTATCTAGTGACTGAAAATATCAAAGGATTTAAGGCGTATATACAAAAAATGTTATACTACTAAAATATAAAATAATAAGATACATATTAATACATATAAAATAATTCCATATAAAAAGTATTAAATACAAAATACGTATAAATTATATAAATATATTTTATATGTATTATACTTAATAGTATAACATAAAAAAAAGTTTCCAAAACGCACCTGTAGAACCTTTAGTGAGAGTGCCAGTAAGGGTCTCCAGCTCAATAATTTTGTTCTCTAGGACGCTTTGCCGTCGTGCAGAATCCTGCTTTTGCCTCTTCAGGGCTGTCAGCTCCTCTTCAGCAAGTCGACGAGCTTCCACAGCATCCGCGTATTCAACTTTCAACGCGCCAAGTTCAGTCTCTAGTTCGGCCAATTTAGCCAACGATTCCCTTTCTAACTCCGCCATTCTATCGTGTGCCTAATTTTTTGATACGTGACAAATAAGTATAAAATTTACTACAAATAAATTATTCTACATGTCTTATATTACTCTGTAATATATGTACGCTGTTATTTTTGCATTGAAAGTACCAATCTTACTTTTACTTCAAATGCAGTTGGTATTATAATAATTGTCTCTTCTATATGAATATATTTTTATTGTATTTTTATTGTACTGTTCGTTTTATAATAATGAAGCTATAGCAGAATGAAATAAAATGTACAATATAAAATAGAGTTATACATTACAGTCTCGCTATATGGCCCGCAGAATTTTCCTTCACAAGGATTTTTCATTATTTATATGCAAGTAATTAATATTCAAGAAATTAACGGATTTAAATTTAACTAAATTTTTTATATTCCAAAATTTTTCAAATATTTAAATTAATAATCTTACAAATTTTCAAAGTTGAATATTTAGGAACATTCAAAATTGAAAATTTAGGGATTTTCAATTAAAGCACCTCGGATAATGTCAAATTTATTGATGTAAAAATCCATAAATTCTAAAATTAGGAAATTTAAAAATTTTCAACAGTAAGTATTTAGAAATGTTAAAACTAAGATTGAGAATGGAGATTCCAAAATTTAATTAAAAAATGAAAAATTTGTGAGTTACACTATTGTTGATAGTGCACTACTATTTCAACATTGTGCAAGTTCCATAAAGTTCTAAAGCAGCATCCAGGGCCATATAGCAAGACTCCACTATATACATATGTATATCCCATTGCATGTATTATATGGAATATCATCAATAAAAAATGAATTAAACTATTAATGTTACGTAAATTATTAAGTTCCGGATAATCACACGATACACTTACGTGACCAAGTTCATCTTCTAATTCGGCTACTTTTTCTAACGCGGCAGTCTTGGTTTCGCTGTCTTCCATCAAAGCAGCTACATCGAATACGTTATCCAGATACGCAGATATTTGCACCTAGAGAAACAATCGAAATTAAATCGAAAGAATATGATGCCCAAAGAGTTTGAAATACGATACGATTGATGCTTCGTTTAAAAAAGGATCTTGAAATACACACCAATGACATCTCGTGTCTGTAATAAAGTCTTATAACCTTCTCCGTTATTTATTGTGATATGTATATGTATGTATATGTACAATAGAGAAAAAATGTAACATATTTTATGACTAAAATATAAGTCACTCTTTTTTGAAATAGATGACTGAGCTTCTTACAGTAAATGAAATATCTACAAGAACAGATTCAATATTGACAAAAACAGATTCAATTTATTAACATTGAAACAAAATGTAAGAACAAAAAACATGTGACGATTGGTTTATGTTTGTATCTACAGTTATGAACAAGTTTGTATCAAATAGTCAATTACGTATACAGCAATTTACAAAGTAGGAGCATTTAACATGAATTTAAAATTTTATATATTCTAAAAATTAATGTAAATCTATTCATGGAAATTGATTTTTAAATTACAGAGAAATAATTTTAACTTTTAATGATTGCGAATTTTCTATTTTAATATATAATTTAGATTTTTAACGATTACGAATAACTTCATATTGTAATAAAATAATTAGATAACAAAATTAATTTATATTAATATTATACATTGTTTCATAAAGAAAAGCTATAACCTTGAATTATGAACTTCAAATTGCAATAAAATAATTTGTAATTATAAAATTAATTTGCATTAATTTTAAACAATGTTATATATTGAACTATCTATTAATTTTATACAGTAATGTTATTATTTAGAAATTAGCGTAAATTAATTCTGAAGATATAAAGAAATGATTATGACTGAATGATTTAAATCACATTTTTACACAGGTATTTCATAAATTACACATTAAAACTTATTTTTCCTTAAGAAAGCAGTTCATCAAATTTATCTAGGTGGAGCTGCTTTTCATAGTCTACCCCAAGAGTTCATTGACTCATTCACATGTTACCCTTTGAAGATCATTCCAGGTCATTACCAAAACTTGTCTTCATAAATGTGTAAAAAATTATCTTATACATATACATACATATTTATCTAACATAATAAATGAAGTGACTCATAAATTAAATTCTTGCAAGCTCTTTACATTAACAAAAATAAACAGTAGATGTTAAAAAATTATATATCATTTTCTTGTAAACATAGGACTGTTGTTCTAGTGTTTATACGCTTTTTGCATTAGGCATCGATTTAACCCCTAACAATTCCGCTTTGCCAGAATCATATACCTGACACAATGGAACATTTAAGACCCCAGCCACTGAAAATGTCTCTCACAAAGAAGCTATTCGTTATTTTAACTTGCAAACAATTACAAATAATCTTTGGAACCTATTTTCATATATTTTACAGCTGATTTCAGTAAACTTGAACGTTGAATATAAAAAAAATTCAGAGACGTGAAAAAATTGAAGAAATAACGCTTTTTACAGAAAAATTGAAAATTGTTTCGATTCTAATATAAAAAGCTAAAATTTTATCTATATACTCTTGAGATATAATAGTTCGAGGAAAAAATACCGGCATTCCAAAGAAGGTGTTTATTTAATTTTCTAGATATAAAGTGGCTAAAGTTAGCTGGGGTCATTTCAAAACCCCAATGTGACCGTCAAGAGTTAACGACAATCAGAAGCGACAATAACCTGCAGGTCTTCGCTCTCCGTATGCCTAAGTCTCTCGAGATATTTATCCAAACCCAGCTTGGTAAACTCGTACTGCAGATGCACCCTAAAATTCATGTCTTCCACCGAGTGAACAACAATGTTCACGAACTGCATACAAGCGACCATAAACTCTATGTGAAAGCTATCGTATTCGGTGAAGTACTCCATCAGCGTTGTGAATCTTCGCCTTTCCGAGCAGACTTCTTTGAAGTTATCGAACGCGGACAGAATAATCTCGTGTCCACCCTTCACCAGACAGATAGCAGCTAGCAGTTCCAGCACTAGAGCTTTCGTTCTGAAACAAGAAAAATAAAACATTTTATAACTGATATTTTACAGAAGTAGAAATGTATTGTTTGCAAAAAGGTAACAATGATTTACCTTAAACTTTTGTGCATCAAACTTAGAGCGATGCAGTTGATTGCTTCCCGGTGTTGTATGACCATGTTGAAGCCGTACTGAAAAATGGTCGATGAATTAAAATAATTTTACAATTAAGAGAAATATTTGTATACTGAATTTATGTATGAATTAGAAAATTTTTAAATTGATTTTTGAATTTGGGACTTCAGAAATTTGAAAATTTAGGAATTCAGACATTTGATAACTTGGAAATTTGAACTTCTGAGACTGTGGAAATTTGGGTGCTTGAAATTTGGGGAATTTAAGGATTTGAAAGGGTCGGAATTAGAGTTTTTGATTTGGGAAATTTGAAAATCTGAATTTTTTGAAATCAGGAATTTGGAAATTTGATAATTTAAATATGAAATTTTGAAATTTTTGATACTTAAAAATTTAAGCACGTTGGAATTACAAATTTGGAAATTTTGCTTGGAAATTATACTTTTTGTAACTTCTGTGTATTTCTATGAGAGTTAATAAAATATATTTAAACTTGAATAAGAGTTATTTTATTTAATTTTAACCTAATTCCTATAGCGCTCGTTTTTCGCAACCTCTCTGTCGCAAATGAAATAAAAATAAATGTCGCAAATAAAATGAACGCTAACAAGATTCTTGTCGTCTTCAAAAGTCAGTGTTGAAAGTCCTGCAAGAATTCAGTACGTAAGGAGGTCGAAAAATATCCATTTCTTAATATCCTTCTTTCAGCTGAGGTATGAACAACTAATATGGTCCTCTCGCTTCGTCGCTGGCAGTCCTTGTACCAGTTCTCCCATACACGTAAATATTCTACCTTGTTATTCATGATGGCACGCATGCACAATATGCAAACGTGAATGTCATCCTTCGCTTCGCCCATGTTGAGACGCGCCACGTGCCGAGATCTCCTTTTAACGCCAGGACTATCCTTGAGTTCGTGTATCGGGGGCCTCAGGCAGCCATTATTTAAGGGTGAGGTGTCACCGGAACCAGCTACAAAATAATTACTATTATACAGCTTGTCCTCGACAATATAGCTTCTATATTTATATAACAGGATTCAAACATTTTTTTGAATGTTTGAACACTATATTTTGTTTGCCAAAGTACAAAAATTATATCTTAATTATTAGTACACATAGTTTCAATTACTGTACCAAGTAATTATATTTTTGGTTATTTTTACAACAGATGTGATTCAAGATTTTGATTCAAAATAGTTTTATTTTATTGTAGTAACCCTAGAAATCAATTTTCCCGAATTTTTTAGTGCAATGTAATTCTAAATGCAATGTAAACATAAAACAATACTGATTTTATTGTGTATACTAGGATGGCTCAACAAAATTGCCTCACTCTTTAAAAATTTAGTGGTGTAAAAAAATTTTCTCAAAGTTTGAGTTGAAAAATTGAAGAGGTCGCTCAAAGCAATTTTCTATCGGTATACTGCTTTTTTATCATATCGACTTTTAACTACAATTTAAGAGACTACAGATGTCGTTACAATAAAGTTGCACAAAATTAGGTAGTATTCAGTCTCGCAGTAATGTTGATTAGCTGATTTAATATTTACATGATGAATGAATAAATAAGGTTAATTAAAAATAGTAAACTTATTTGATGACTGTTCAAAAGTTTTGATATTGCTACTAAGCTATATTCCTTCATTATTTATAATGAATAAATCTTAATGATAATGAATCTTTATAATAATGAATTTTAATGACTTTATAAACAGTAAACCGTTCAAACAAAAAATTGTGGTTAAAATTATAACAAACATTCTATTTACATTGTTCATGCTATAGTAATATATTAAATTCTATTAAATTTCAATGATTGCTTCTTAGTTATACGTTCTATTTAAACTTCCATGTACTCAACAATTTTAAGATAAACTTCACTTCGAAGAACGCCAATCTGTTGAATTCTGTTTATTTAATCTGATACTATTCGACGAGTAAATCTAAAAATACTGGTTTTAAGACTCGGAATGTAATGATTCAACAGTTACCTAAAATTCCGCGTTCTTTTCGCGTTATCCGCTATTGAATCATACTTAATATTAATAAATAAACAAATAAACAAATATTTAAACATTCTTAAATTATAATATGATAATTATTTGTGGCACAAAGTGATTTCGAATAAAATAAGTAACAGATTTACGTAAAAATTGGTGTTTCTAAAAATTGACGTGTCTGTAAAAATTTAAGTGGTGTTCAAAAAGTTAACCCTCTGCACTCGAGGCCTTTGCTCAGCTGAACCAGCAACTCGAGACGATTTTCCGCGTACTCGATGAATTTCTCCCACCTAACTTAAAATGACTCCACCTACAAATTAACATATAAAACGGCTATATTTTAATATTTGTATCCTAACATCGAAAGGGAGAAAATCTGTTAAATATTAAGCCCTGTATCCTTTCTTTGTAAGGCATTTTATAAAACAATCGACATCCTCAGCTTGTTGGGGCAAATATCGCGGTAAAATCTCGTTCGATGTCTTTCGCCGGGATGTTTTCGTCGAGAGCAAACCTTGCAATCCTTCCTATTTTCCGTTAGAATAACACGTAGCTTTCCATTCGATCGAATTTCATCGAAACTAGTGGTCAAAGTAAAAGCTCAATCACGAGTCTGGCGAAAATCTTTCCTCGATTGGTCGACCAAAGTTTCTACATTCAGTTAAAAGCAAACTTTTACGAAAGCTTTGAAAGCAATATCCCTGTTGACACGACTGTCATGTTCGGACTAACGTCAAAGTCGGAGTCTAATTCCCGATTAGGGACTAATTCGAGATTCGAACGGGTGGCTCTCGGTCACCTCTCGAGTTGCCGCGTTGGACCAAGTGCAAGTTCGCCTCTCGAGTGCAAAGGATTAATTTGCATAAACGACGTGAATCTGAAAGAAGTAAATATTGTATGGATCAGAATATGTTTTGTTAGATTGTTACCGGTTTGTAATTTTTCCTCGGAATTGGCGTGCGATTCTAAAAGGCGTTGTTCGTGTCTCATCATTTGTAACCTGAAGCTGAGGTAGTCTATGAGGGCATCCAGGCCTTGATTTTCTTCGTCCAAAAACTCCCTTACCCACCTGAAATGTTTATTTAATGACGCGAAGGGTTACTTGAGAATTATGTACACTGTGGGAGAACGGGGAAGTAAGTGGTAGGTAATTAATCTTTTAAAATATGTACGTTCAGATCATTAATAAATTGTCAATTTTTTTATATGAAAATTTGTCAGTCACAGATTTCTGGACTTTCAGATCTACGAATTTCTCAATTTCTAAATTCCTAAAAAATAATTGCGTAACTATTAAATTTTTTAAGTATCAAATTTCAAAATTTTAAGATTCGCCAATTCCTAAATTTTTATATTTGAAAATCTAAATGTTAAAAATCTTGATACGTCTAAATTTATAAATTTGAAATTTGTATACTTGTTAATTAAAAAATTTATCTTTATATTTTTAAATTTGTAAATTTTAAAAATCTTTAATTATTAAGTTTTTGAAGTACCAAATTTGAAAATTCTCTATAAATCCCTAAAAAAAGTTCCTAAAAATGAATTTAATATTTCATCCCTTACACAGCCATATTTTCCCTCCTAAAACCAAATGTACTCCCGATTGTACTTAATCGTATAATAAATTTTATAATCATTTATGTTCTAATACTCTTGGGGCGCAAGTACCACGTTCAATCAATTATTAATAACAACAATATTAAAATAACTTACTCGATATGATTTGTGCGCAAGGAGATCTCCAGATCTCGCAGGACTTGCGTCGATGTTGATTCTCCAACCATTTTTCTCTTCTGGAAGAACGTGAAAAAACGATACGTCTGTATAATCATTAGTATCCGTCGTTCCAAGTAACTTGCGTGAAAAACGAACAGAAAATAAACGAACTTTTTGCAGCCCGAGAACCAAACGTATCGCTTTAAGCGTATTTTTTGTACTCAAGATTCAGCTGGTAGAAGATTGTGTTTCAATTTTCTTACTTTTTATAAAATCTAATCTTTCTTAATGTTTTTATGTTAAACTTCAACAACATATAACATTTGAACGAATGAATTTCTATATTGAAATTATATTTATTGAATACTATTAGATTATGCGAAAAAAGGTGGTGTTCCAAGACAAAGTTTAATCATAAATTTTGTGGATGCACTGTTAAAAGGGAACAGTATGTCTCCGACAGGACGACCGAGCCATTCGGAACAATTCGGCAATCTTCGACGATTTACGGCGTGCAAGGCGATTGCCGATTCGCAATTGACACATGGCGGCCTAAATAGATTTGGAAGGCGAATAATAAAAACGTGTAGTGTAAATAGCTAATTAATTGTTAAATTAAAGGAGAAAATCGTAGAGTTCATTTCGAAACCCAACAATTGTTATGTGGATAATTTTAATACAAAGTGTCAGTAATTGGAACACGTGTAATTGGTATATCTAACCTAGTTACTTTAATGACTGCTTGTATTCTATTCAATGTAAAATTGTTTCGCTATCTACGTGATACATCGGAAGAACACATGTATTTGACGACAATTATATGGTACATAGTTGTCTTAGAAGTATGAAAATCGTGGTAAGGTCAATTTATGAGCACGAGACCATAACATTACTTCCTCTACCAGCTGAAACAATTAGAGAATCACTTTATAAAAACTACGTTTCTTGTTTACTGAGTCAAATTTACACATCGTTGTGAATAATCATCGTGGATAATTCATTGATAAAATATTCTTTTATGTTCAGTATAATTTCAATTATTTATCACGCTATTTAATTAATTTTTCTTTCCAAATTTATCACAAATTTTCTATTATTTTTTCAACTCATTTCACTGCTTTTGACATTTTTTTTACCATAATTTTTTATTAAATTTTTGTTAAACTCCAGTCAAATTTGTATATATATATAATCCATGTTAAAATTAAAAATTATAGATAATTAACCAAATACAAATATAATTAATTTTGTCAAGCTTTACCAACAGTTTCAATAAAAAGATAACATATCTCTATTTGTGTCAAATTATTGAAATCAGATGTTCTGTATTAAGGGCAGTTACCCTATTTATTATCATTTCACTATGAATGAATCCTCTATTCAATCCATCACTGGCTGCACTCAGTTCACTGGTAACTTTTAATGATGATCTTGTATAAAACGCTGAAGAAAACAATATTTTATTATGAATCACACTGTGATGATTATCGAATTAAAAATGAAAATTTATCAAACACTGTGTTTGATAAATTAATGCTCTTTTTTAAAACTGTTTAAATAAATGATTTTCTAATTGTACAATGACGAATGCAAATTTGAGTACGATATTCTATGTTTCAATTCGCGTAGTAACATAAAGGAGACGAAAACATGAACACATAAGGTATACAAATAAATAAAAATAAATGCAACATACTCGATGGCTTCGTGATGCTTTTGGATCCAGATAGGTGCGTAATTTTGCTAAATAATGCGACGGCGGATCTTTCGCTTGTACCCTTTCCTGGAAACAACATCAAATAGATTACGAAAGTGCTAATGCCGCAATAAAAGTTTCGTGAACGATTACAATAATTGATTAATTTTCCTGATTAAAATGAGATCAAAGACAACAGAATTCGAAATACATTCATTTGTAATTTCAAGTATTACTATCATGCAGTAAAGTTTGGATATAAACAGATTTTTCGGATCCGAGTTTTCATGTGCATCGTGCAGCTTCGACACTGAACGACGTTTGCCGAACGCAGAAAAGTAGCGAGCGACGGAAACGTCCGAATATAAAAAAATATATCGGTGAAAGAATCCTAATGAAAGAATAAAACTATTCTGTTTTTTGCTTCTTGTTATGGAAACTTTTACCAGCATAGTTATGACATTTTCCTAATTAAAATGAGACCAAACACAACGTAATTCAGAACACATTCGTAGATTCAAACATTTTCTTTACACCAATGTCTTAACTGTAGTAATTTGGCGGTAAAAGGACGAATAGTGACACGTCGGATAACTTCGTTTCCCTTCGGTGTTATTCGGATAATCACGTGATACATCTAACCGTCAAAATCGTAAACTGCTATGAAGCGTCTAAATGCGATTGAAAAAAAGTGATTAAAGATTCAAGATTATTATAATTCTAATAAAGATTCGAAATAAGTGAATCTCTCGACTCTAAACTTCTGCCAATATCATGCAGTTCTGACAATGAACGAAGTTTACCGAGCGTAGAAAAGTAGCAAGCGACAAAAACGTTCGAACGACAGAACGTAAGCAAACAGCAACAAAAAATGGACTTCTCCCATTTTCAAAATAAACAGCTCGGATACTGTATATAAAAGGTAGGTAAAATAGCAGATAAAATTATTCGGTCCTTTGGAAAGATGAGTTCCAGCTTCAGAATTTCAGATACAAACGAATGGCTTTGTAATCAGGGTGTGTGCAATTCCACGCTCGGTGGCTTTAATGGGCGAGGCTCCAGTAGCTTCCTACACTCGCATAACGTAGAACAATATCCCACGGTTTCCTAAATGCGTGTCTGGCCGCGTGAATGCGTGGCTGTGCCACTAATTTGGCTAATTTCACGCATGTGGGCTCATTCTTCGGATACACTTTCATCTCGCGTGAGTACGGCTCTCAAAGGATCATCGTTACCCGTCCCGTAATTCTGCCGAGGAACGCGAAACGGTAAATTCCTTTCAAAGATGCTCTTTTTCTTGTAATTACTGTAAATGTTGGTTCAACATTGCGAGATTTATCTTCATCATTTTATTTACACTGTTGCTGGACTCGATTCAGGCGGCACGTTCCCACGACAGCTTCTTTCTATTCTTCTCATATGCATCAATGTTACTGGGTGATTGTTAAATTTTTTATGTCTGCACTGCTTTCTTCTCAACGAAATCTTCCCTTTATTGTAAGTACTCTTTATTATTCTCTTTAAGTAAATACATGAATTTATAATTATTTATATTGATAAAAATTATATGTATAAATTCATGCTTTCTCTAACATGTAAATATGAAAATTAGAAAAATTATAAATTCAAAATCTTTAAAATTTCCAGATCTCCGCATTTATACATTTAACATTCTATTATCTTACAGATACTTGTGATCAGATGAAATTGGTAAATTCTCAGAAAAATCCTATCTGAGTATATAGAGTCATGTACGGGCCCTAACTATATCTATATATCTGGAAATCACTGTATTTGAACATCGATGGACAGAAAAATTTTGAGATCGCTACTGTGTCCTAACCACGTGTGTACGGTCCCTCTCTGATGAAAGAGGGATGCTGTACACTTTTTTTGCGGCCCGCTTTCTTGTATCGTATAATAGCACGGCTTGCGTTACATCCGTGTCGTGTTACCCACATGCCTTACAGGCCTATTCAAAAATCGCTACGGACCATCGATGACGACTCGAACAGACAACCCTATCGCCTCGAGAATATCCTATTTCATCGACAGATTCTGTGCAACGGCATCTTCGATACTTTGTCGCAACTGAAACATCCGTGAACACGCAAGATCCAGTGATTCAAATTATATCTGGTCGAATCGCGTTAAACTAAACCGCAGCTTATTATATCTACATCAGCTCGTATAAATTGATCCTCGATGCTTCTACAAATTAATCTTCGATGCTCGTTTATAATTGAATTAAAGATGGCATCAATCGAATCATGCTGTGCTAATATTAACTCCTATAGCTTCAGTCTACAAGTTTGTTCCATTTCGAATATAATATGTATTAGGAAACTTGCAATTTCTAGACCGTTTGATGCTCAGCAAGGGGTAATGGCGGTGCTTTGATCGTACCAATGAAACGTAAGCCGAATGTCCTAATGTTCAAACGAGTCTGGTAATTAACAATTAAGTGGGAATTTCGTTAATAATATTTCTGCTTATTTTTAACGTTCAAACTAATCAAAATGTAACAGCAAAATGTGTTAGTTTTACATAGATATAATTATAAGTTTTTATGATTTCTTATATCACGTGAAAATATTATTGCATACTTTAAGATTCAATGTTTTTAAGTTAGTTTCATAATAACTCAAGTAACCGATTTTCTGTTGAATTTGTAATTAATTTTATATCATTTTTTAAATAATAAAATCGTTTTAGATTCATTAAATAATAGAAGATTCCAATTAATCTTATTTCTTATTAATTTTGTTTAAATAATTTTGTCATAATATCAACATAACCTCAAATTTTATATATTTTTAATAATTTTTCTTACATTATAGTCACAAATTTAGTTTAAGAGAAAAAAAAATCGTGATTTAATAAATGAATATACTATAAATAAAATATTTTCATTCCACAAAATATTATCATCTTTGTTTCCCTTTGTTACATGACCAAAATTAAATTAATTCATAAGGCAATAATATTTATTAATATTTAATATGTAAATCAATTTAGTCAAAATGAAAACAATTAAATTAATATTTAATATTTAGTTAATAATAATAACTAAGACATGTCATGAATATTAATGAATTATTGGCTATATGAACATTTTTACAATTTAATTAATTCATAATTTTACCTTCCACAAACGTAATTTGTAAAACTTGTAAAAATTTTTGCTGAACGTAAAAATTTGTTCCTTTTGAATAAACATCTTTAGTTATAATTTTACACTGTCTAAATATAAAAAAATTCAATTAATTTAACTGCTGCATTAATCATTTGACCCCTGGAAAATTTACCTCGCATAAATTTAGAAGTATAAAAACTGTAAACTGTAAATTTGTCTAGCAACGACTTCTCGTTAAAAAAATAAGAATCTAAAAATAAAAAAATTCACCCCTGAAACTTCCCCAATCAATATTCCGTTAATCTACTTTCTTCTTCAGCCAAACTGAACTGAACGTTCGTTAGAAAAGTTTATTCTGAAAGAAGTCTTAATTCCCAAACCGTTCATTCTCATTTATTTCTCCTGTCGTACCATCTGAGACTAATTATGAGACTAGGAACGAATTTCAGCCGAAACCCGTTGTTGCAATAAAAGAATAGTTAATAACCCCGATAAATTCCGGTTGTTGAGTCATTTATTGTTCATGCATCTTGTTCTCGTCGATCCAGACGACTCGTCAAATCCATTTAATACTTTTCTACCATTCTTTCTAGCGAAGCTTGCAACGGGAAAAGGGAGCGATTTCCACTCGAGACGAGTTCCACCCTAACTGCTTGGCTCTTCTCGGTTTAACGAGGCAAGTGGTCCACCTAAACCGCAAAAACCTTGGCTGAACTCTTTACAGGGGCCCTTTTGTAGCTTTTTCTTCCGCTATTCCGGAACAGAGAACTGACTTAATGCATGCGTTAAACCATTCCGCTGCAGAAGCTTTCTAAAAGATTTCATCTCGCGTTTAATAATATTATTCAAAGCACTTTCCTTCGACATTTTGATACGAGTCAACTCAAACGTTATGTAAGAGAATCTTTGGGGTTTAACTTTCGTTTATATCGGAAGCATTGTTCCGGCGGTGACTGAAGTTTGCTAAACGTAGCAAGCGACGGAAACGTCCGAATGACCGAATACAAACAGTAACATATTCGTAACACGATTCTAATACAAGAATAAAACTCTTTTATACTGTATTTTTTGTTACGAAGCCTTTACCAACATATTTTTGACATCTCACTAACTAAAACGAGATCAAACACGACGTAATTCAATATATATTTACTTGCAATTTCAAGCGTTTCAATCATGTACTAAAATCTGGATATAAGCGGATTTTTCGGCCTCGAGTTTTCGTTTACATCGGGTTGTTCCGACAGTGAACGAAGTTTGCCGAAAAGTAGCGAGCGACGGAAACGTCCGAACGTAGAAGAACAATAATATATTGGGAGAACAATACTAATGAAAAGAAACTTTTTTATTTCTGTCTTTTATGGAAACTTATCTATCACATATTTATCAACATATTTCTAGCATTCTCCTGATTAAAGTGAGTTCAAACACGGTATAATTCAGAACATACATATTCGTAATTTCAAGCATTTTCTTTACATCGACGTTTTACTGTAATAAGATTCGCGGTAAACATACGAGTAATGATACATCGGGTAATATCGTTTTTCTTCGGTGTAATTCGGATAATCACGTGATACGTTTGACAGTCAAAATCGTAAATATGGCTGAACTGTCAAAATATGAATGAGAAAGGTGGTTAAGATTATAATAAAGCCCCGAAAAAAGTGGTTTTGGTTATAATAAAACCTCAAAATAAGTGAATGTCTCGGTTCTGACATGCTTATATCGTGTTGTTCCAATATTAAACGACGTTTGCTGAGCGTAGAAACATAGCGAGCGACGGAAACGTCCCAAACATAAACAATAACATACTAGTGGTAGAATCCTAATGTAAATATAAAATATTTCCATTCTTTTATTGTTTTTATTATGAAACTTTTACTAACATATTTATAACATTTTTTTTATTAAAATGAGAGAAACTACGATGTAATTCAGAATATATTTATTTGGAATTTATCTTTTATATCTAATAAACTAACCGCTTTAAAACGAACGAGGACTTTATCCTAATAAGTTAATGCAAATACAGTCCCGAATTACGCCATGTTTGATGTTAGATTATAAAATAAATTTTTAAGATCTAAAATATTTTTTAGAAAAGAATAAAATGAAATATATACAATATTAAAATATAATAAAGGGAAATATGTAAAATTTAAGAAAAATATTACAGTGGACAATTTAGAGACTTTTTTTACTTAAACTTCGTTGTATCTAATCAAATTTTTCAAGAAACCTTTAAGTATGTTTGAGATACATTTAACGAGTCTTTCATAATCCATATCCTTGACTGCTCTAAAGAGGTGTCTTTCTCGACGACACTTTCGTTCGCCCTCGATTAAACTCGAGATTAAAGCCATTTAAGCATAACCCCGCAGACGCGTGTACGCCATTACGGGCGATATATGTCTGGACGACGATACTGCATTCGTTCATTAAATGTCTGCAGCCTAAGTAGCATTATACTGAACCTATAATCTTTCGTGTTCACTTACAAAGAGACTCATGAACATTCTTCATAAGAATTCATAAAAATTGTTTTTCACAAATTTTTACGGACTCAAATTTTTGAATACATTTAAAAATTCCTAGATTCATAAAAATTACTAAACATTTAAAATTTCCTAAATTTTTAAAAATGACTGAACATTTAAAAATTCCTAAATTCTTAAAAGTGACTGAACATTAAAAAATTTTTTAATTCGTAAAAATGACTAAACATTTAAAAATTCAAAAATTTTTTAATATGTAAATTCCTATATCTGTACCAAGAAGTCCATATGGAAAATTTGTATCGAATTTTAATGTAATTATTTTCAGAATGTGAAGGAATAGAACTGTATACGAATATTAATGTGAATAACTGTAGATCTTATTGCGGTACGTGAAATTTTTCATGCTGTCATTCATAAACGTTTCTCGCGAAATTGATAGCAGACTGCCATTGTAACGAATTATAAGAATGACGTAATCGGCCTTTAACTTGACGAACTTATTGTTAATCGGCGCGTTCCGAGATCTTTGCCCGCTTCGTATCCGTTCAATTCCTCGCCGACCAATGAATGCGGGTACACGACCCGGGCTTTATAAATCGTCCCACGATCCTCCGCCGACTTCTTTCTTTCTTTTAATCGATCATTTGTTCGTACGGTACAATGTCTTTCGAAAAGAAGAACATGTTACAGAACGAAGAAAATTTTAGTTCGAGCGTGCAGTTGAATTTAGAAATTTGTGAAATAAAAAATTTGGATATTTTGGAGGGAAATTTGAAAAATTTTAACGTTTGAGAAGTTTGAATACTTGAGAATTAAAAAATTTAGGAATTTGAAGATTTTTATTGTAAATGAGGATATTTAAAAATTTGACAATATAGGAAATTTTAATATTTGAAAAGTTTTATGTTAAAATTTGAAAATTTATAAAATTGAATATTTGACAATTTATTTAGGCTTAAATATTTAGAAATGTGAAGGTTTGACAATTCTAACCAAAAATTTAAGAATGTAGTAATTTAAAAATATAGAATTTTCAAAATTTAGAAAAATAAATATTCCTATTTATTTTATGGCAAAAAGCCTTGGTTCATTCAAGTTTATTTTAACCATGTCAATTTTTAACTTTGAATTTAATTGTTGCTAACAAATAACTCATTAATAAAATTAATTGTTAAGTCATTAAAGGTGAAAGTAAAATTTTTATATTATAAATAGTTTCATTTATCAATGCTGACGTATAGAAAAGGCTGTTTTATATGTATATAGTATATAGATGTACTCACTTGGTCACAAATGATGTCCCATTTCTTCTCGTTGTCGTACTGCTTCAAAAGTTTTGCCTTGTCCGGAGGTAAATCCATTGAAGCCTGAAAGATCAAAGTTGCATTTTAATGTCTCGACATTTTATGGTATTCGACATGTTACAGTTACATTTTCTCCTCATTTTATCCGCTTTTTGGACAAATGAATTTACAAAATAAGACCATGATTTAGTTAAATTTAATGCAAATTAAGTTTAAGCAGTTACATTTAAATTTAATGAATATTAAATTTGGTAATATTCATGATCTAATAATAATATTCGTAATATTAACATTAATATTAATATTCATTATTAAATTAATTAATATAATAATTTCATTTAATTTAATAGTGAATATTAAATTAATATTGAAAATTTGTAAACTGCTGAAAATTTTGGAATTTGGAAACATCAAATTTAAAAAAAAAATTGGAAATTAAAAAATTTTAGGTTTCTGAATAGTCGGAAATTTGAAAGCTTGAGATTTTTGAAAAATTGAGAATGTGAACATTTGAAATTCCTTAGAAGTGAGATATTTGGAAAATTAAGATTTTTGAAGAGTCAAAAATGTGGAAATTTGAGATTTTTCAAAAATCCAAAACTTTTGACAATTTCAGATTTTGTAAAAATCAAAATTTGGAAATTTTAGGTTTTTGAAAAGTAAAAAATGTGGAAATTTGAGATTTTTGAAAAGTCAAACAGTTGGAAATTTAATATTTTCGAAAAGTAAAAAATTTGGAAATTTGAAATTTTTGAAAACTCAAAATTTGGAAAAATGAGATTTTTGAAAAGTAAAAAATTTGGAAATTTCAAATTTTCAAAAAAGCGAAAATTTGAATGTTTGAAATTGTTCGAAATTCGAAAATTTTGATATTTGGTTTTGAGAAAACAAAAATATAGAAATTTAAGATTTCTCAAAAGTCAAAACTTTAAATATTTAACATATTTTGTTAAATTAATTCATAAACAATGATAAATTAACTGCCGAATTAAAATCAACTCAAATTAAATCAAATTAAAACAAAAATATTAATAAATCACATAAAAAATGATAATTTCAGCAATTTATAAATATTTCATTATTAATGAACAAAATTACTAAATTTAGGGAATAAACCAACTTAAATTAAACAAATAATTAATTCCCCTTTGTCTAAGGTACACCGCTAATTAGTCAAATATGCAAACGCTGAGATCTCATGGCATCCCTCGTTGTTTGAACTGTTCTCGTTAGGGTAATGAATGTCATCGACAAAGGTCGTGAAAAAGAACCGAGGGAGGGTTGCTGACTTTATCGAGTGGCCTTCACTTTCATCGTTTCAACGTATTTTCATATATGATCAAAAGTTTTTACGATAATTATATTAACAAAGTTTACAGTGTTCACAAAGCATCTTCAATATCAAACTGTACTAATATTCAATATTCACTTTATCTTTTAGTCTTGCAATTAAAATAAAGTGAACGTATCGATGACACACTTATAGATTTTAATGACTTCCTACTTTTAATTGGTTGGTTATAACACAAATTAATTGGTTAAATACTCTGAACTTTTTTATTTTTAAGCTTTCAAGCTTTTGGATTTTTGAAATTTCAAGTTTTCAAGTATTATACATTTAAATTTTCAATTTTTTAAATATTTAAATTTTCAAGTTTCAAAATTTTTAAATATTCAAATTTTCAAGCTTCAAAATTTTTAAATATTCAAATTTTCAAGTTTCAAAGTTTTTAAATATTCAAATTTTCAAGTTTAAAAATTTTTAAATATTCAAGTTTTCAAGTATTTAATTTTTTAATATACAAGTTTTCAAGTATTCAATTTTTAAAGCATTCAATGTTTCAAATATTGAATTTTACAAGAATTAAATTTGCAAGATTTAGAATTTTCAATTTTTCAAATATTCAATTTTGCCAGTATTCCAATTTTCCCAGTATTCAGTTTTCTAATATTCAAGTTTTCAAGTTTTCAAATTTTCAAGGTTCGCATTGATAAATATTCAAAGTTTCAAATTTTCAAATTTCAGATTTCAAGTACTCAAATTTTCAGTTTTCTAAATGTTCAAATTCTCAAGTTTACAAATATATAAATTAAAAAATTAAAGATATGAAGGCGCGAAAATGAAAAAGGCCACAATTTATACAAATTTTGTAATTACAGTATAGATTCATTTTTTAACTTCAAAATTAATAACTCAGAATTTGGACATTTTAATGATGAACCGTTTTAAAGGATTAAAGAAGGAAATAAAAAAATTTGATAATTTGGAAATGACAAATTTTTAACTTGCTATTCTTAAACATAAAAATTCGAAGAATTGAAATCTCAAAAATAATAAGAAATTAATATTTTAATATTTTGACATTAATGATATACAGTCAGAAATACAGAAACAGTAATATGATTTATCTAATTCGACCCACGACAAAGACGGAGTATGTCCGTCAGTCGATAATAAATTATAAACGATGGCGAAGAAAATCAAGTAAACGATAATATTCTTAGCTATGCCTTAGGATACGCAACCGTCGTTAAAGACGAGCATAGTCAACGAATAATTATCAAACAGCGGATGCGGAAGCCACGAGTGCATGACATCACTATTCGCGATACACGTACATATTCACACGTACAAAGAGTCCCACTTTTGTACCGCTAAACTATATTATCATATTTTATCCATAAAAACAATAACGTTGCATCAATATAGAGTTTCGAACGCTTTATTAAAAAGTTATTACAAAAATACAAAATAACGACGGATTACCTTGTTCGATATTGCATACACTTTTATCCTAATAACTTTACTAGAATATTCTATTCATAAAAATAAGAAAAAATGTTTAGACGAGCATAGGCTCCCGAATGCGTTATTAAATGTTATTAAAAAAGAATAAGAAAGTCAAGAATTCGTATGTAGTATCAAAGGATGAAATCGTTAATTATTTCGTATATTCCTCGTAATCTTTCGATTACATCTAACAGTCTACGTTTATATAACACTTTATCATTTTTATTCATAGAACATGCTGGTAAAGTTTTACGTCGAGAACACACTGTATTTGGCATTGAAAAACAAAGCGGTCCATAGTCATTTTGTACTTTTGTTATAACTTTTTAATAAAGCGTTTAAATCTCTACGTCAATATAACATCTGTGGCGGATCTCGCCATAATATTCTGAACACTCACGCGTGGGAAAAAGTTCGCGACGTCTTTCGTGATCGACACACCTCGAAATCGAATATTCCCGAAATCGCGCGTCTTCAAAAACCGTTGCTAGGCGCCATATTTGTTTTTCCTTCGGTCAGTCTCCTCGCGACGCTCGTACACGCAGGACCTTACCCGTGACGTCAAACTGTCTCATCTCCGTGTTATGCGAATTTCTTTGTCCATCAACCATTACTGTTTTCCTCAACTGCATATATCTTTGTAAATAGTGTTGAAATCGTGTGCAACTTATTTACCCACATACGCTTCAACGTATGTAAAACTTTCCATTAATATAACATCTTTTCCTTACTTTTGCGTATGGAATATTTCGGTAAAGTTTATCGGTAAAATACTAGGATATCCTGTATATAATTTTTCGTGCTGAAGTTATTTCCTTTTGATAAAATTTATGCACAGTGAAATTTTCATGAATGAAACTTAAAAGCAATATGAACGACTTCGAATTTTGTAAATATCTTTGTAAATAGTGATTCATATTAAAGACTAGTTTAATGAAATCGCGCACATCTTATTATTTACCCACAAGCGCTTCGAAGTGTTGAAGAACCTGTGTTAACATAACATCTTTTTTGTTTTCGCATATGAAATATGGTGTTAAAAAAGTGGGACACCATGTACATTACGATGTATACATTACGCATACGGTGTTTCTGCTGAACGGTGAATCGCGAATATCGCGTTCCAGCCCAGAAATTACATAAATCACCAGTTACGCCAACTTTGAAAACAACCGTCGCGAACTAAGTTGCAATTACAATTTTATATACGCCTCTGCATGATGCGATGGAAGTCTTAACACTAAATTTGCGAATGTTCGATAAGTAGCTATTGGATTAAAAATAAAGTACAACAACAAATAAGCAGGGGATGAAACGCAAACTAATTTATACAGTTTTTTATCTTGATGAAAGTTAACATACATTTCACCCAAGGGATCTTAATAATTGATGATTTTTATAGTGACTAAATTTTTGGGGTGCTTATTATCAAGTTTTTGAATTACACAACTCCAAAATAGCTCAATTCCCAATTTCAGAATTTTCCAATTCCAAATTTGCAATTCTAAAATTTCTCAATTCCCAAATTCTCAATTCCAAAAATTGCACATTTCCCAAATTCCCAATTCCAAAAATTGCACAATTCCCAAATTCTCAATTCCACAATTTTTCAATTCCCAAATTCTCAATTCCAAAATTTGTCAATTCACATTTCCTAATTCCAAAATTTCTCAATTCTCAAATTCTCAATTCCAAAATTTTTCAATCCCAATTTCCCAATTCAAAAATTTCTCAATTCTCAAATTCTCAATTCCAAAATTTTTCAAACCCAATTTCCCAATTACAAAGTTTCTCAATTCCAAAATGTTCCAATTCCCAATTTCGCAATTCCAAAATTTTTCAATTCCCAATTTCTCAATTCCAAAATTTGTCAATTCGCAATTTCCCAATTCTAAAATTTTTCAATTCCCAAATTACCAATTCCAAAATTGAAAAATTTCCAAATTCTCAAGTCCAAAATTTGTCAATTCTCAAATTCTCAATTCCAAAATTTTTTAATCCCAATTTTCCAATTCCAAAATGTTTTAATTCCCAATTTCGCAATTCCAAAATTTTTCAATTCCCAATTTCTCAATTCCAAAATTTGTCAATTCGCAATTTCCCAATTCTAAAATTTTTCAATTCACAAATTCTCAATTCCAAAATTTGTCAATTCCCAAATTTCCAAATCCACAATTTTTCAATTCCCAAATTCACAATTCCTAATTTTTCAATTCCTAATTCACAATTCCCAAATTCTCAATTCTAAAATTTTTCAATTCCCAAATTCACA